AAATAATTATATTTTGCATAAAGAAAATAAAGCAATTAAAAAATATATATAATTATATAATTATAATATATAATATATATAATATTTAAATTATATAATATTAAATATATATATATATATACATATATATATTAAATAATTATATTTTGCATAAAGAAAATAAAGCCAAATTTTTTTTAAATGGCTTTATTTTCTTATGCAAAATATAATTATTTAAATATATATATATATATATATATATATATATGTATAGTTCTAGTTTTTATATATATATATATATATATATATATAATAATTATATTTTGCATAAAGAAAATAAAGCCAATTTTTTTACTTTTCTTTTCATTGTGACATGTTCATGAGAATTAAGCACATACTTTTTTTACTATTATGCAGAAGTAAAAAAAATGCAACAACTGCATTCTCATTATTATTTATGCTGGTTCAAAAAGTGAATTGAAGTAAAAATTGACTGTAAAACAGTAATGGTAAATGTATTCATAAGAATCTAAAGAGAAACGGCGTTGAGAATTATATGTAGTTAATTATATTCTCAACTGTGATAATAATCAGAAATGTTTTTTGAGCAGCAAATCATCATATTAGAGTGATTTCTGAAGGATCATGTGACCCTGAAGACTGGAGTAATGATGCTGATCAGCTTTGATCACAGGAATAAATTATATTTTATAATATATTACAACAGAAACCAGTTAATTTAAATTGTAATACATTTTACAAAATGATATGCATCAAATAAATGCATATATATATATATATATATATATATATATATATATAATAGGTCTATTATGTTATACGTTTACGAAGTCTCCATCCTCGTGATTATAATGTGAATGTTCTGCGGAAAAACATGTTGCTGTTTGTACGCCAGACATGAGCTTGGATCCGCTCCACAAAACTCAGTACAGAACATTTTGCCCACAAATTGGCATTTCTTCACCACTCATAAAACTGATTGTTGCTATGGAAACACCCATTTGCATGGGCGTCTAATCATCTTTAATGCTTTAAGTGATTGACACAAATCTCTCTCTGTCCACTTTATTGCTCATTGTCAACAGCATATTCAGCTGTAGCTTCTGTTTGACTTTTAACTGATAATCTGATTGTTGGATATCGTCGTTAATGTGTTTACTTAATAGCGTGTACATTTGTCTTTAGTTTTTGGACCATCTGCTAACTGGCATTGAGGATATCTGCGGACATTATGGACATCATCACTGGAAAGACAAGTACGTATGCAACTCTAAAAGTCAAATTTGGTGATTTGAAGTGATTTTGTGATTATTTGAATCCTAAATGAAATCATAATGACTTCTAGATCTGGTGTTTGATGTAGAATTTAGATTTGACATGTTTTTGAATGACTGACGTCAGTGATGTTTAGCCATGAAAATCAGACATGTTTTTAATATATTTGGCCGAGTTCAGTCTTTTCATACTTATATACTCGGCTGTTGTTGCTCATGAAGAGAAAGTGAGTTTTAGGTTCATTTTTGGGATCAAATAGTTTGATCCATTTTATTCACGCACAGGCACACTCACACTCACACACACACACACATAATATATGAAGAGTTCAGATGTAAAAGCCTCTAAATGCCATTTGAAATTTTCTTCTAAAATGATCATTTTTATCAAGCTTGTATATTTAAGTTCAGTAATTTCACTTAAATGACAATTAATAGGTAATCTTCATTGCCATTTAAGTGAAATTACTGAACTTAAATATACAAGCTTGATAAAAATGATCATTTTAGAAGAAAATTTCAAATGGCAGTTAGAGGCTTTTGCATCTGAACTCTTCACATATATATATATATATATATATATATATATATTATTAGTATTTGAAGTGTGTCCCCCTCAATTTTTCCGAATTAAGACATGGTTTCAGTGTTTCTTCTGCCACTGATGATGCTGGAAGCAGGGGTTTGTTAACTGGATTTCAGACTTCATATCAAAAGCATCACCTTTTCCTTCTCATTTCCAGACTGAACCGGTTCAATAAGAAGTACATAAAGAAGTGCCTGATAGCGGGAGAGCGCTCCAAAGAACCTCAGCTGATCGCCTTCTACCACAAGATGGAGATGAAGCAGGCCATCGAGCTGGTGGAGAGCGGAGGAGGATCCAAGCTGCCTTCTGCCATGCCCTCCACCATCTCCATGCAGTGAGTAACCCCTCACCTCATTTATACAATTGTGTGGAATGCATATAGAAAGTGTGGAATCTGCATTGAATTTGAAAGAATGATTATAGCATGTTTCAGATTTCAGAATGGAATGTGTATTGATTTTGAATGCATGACTTATTGCAGTAGAACATAATAATACATATTAAAAGAATGTGTTGAATGCATGCAAAATATGTAATGGATTGTGAAAATGTATGTAAAGCATTGCACTGGAATTTTTAGAATGCATATAGAACTGAATCTGAAAGGAATTTGATATTATGAATGGAGAATGTGTGGAATTTTTTAAATATTCAGAAGTACACTCTTAGAAGGAAAAGTTCTATATAGAACCTTAAAAGGTTCTAAAGCGCTACGTATTTGGAACCCCTAAAATGCAATGCATGTGAATGATCCCAAAATTCAAGATATGTGGGTTAAAAAATGTAATTAATCAATATCAGACAAAGAGTGGCATTTCAGTTTTTATCCTCCAAAATCAGCATGATTAAAATGTGATATTAAGTTAATAAACAATAATTTAATTACATACTACAAAATGTTATAGAATAATGTAATATATGAACGAAAGTAGCCTTTAAAGAACCTTTGTGGCAAAAGGGTTCTTTCTTTCTCATTATAGAACCTTTTTTAGCAATAAATGTCCTTTGGAGTTGAGTAAAGAACCCTATGCTACATATATAGAAATCTTTTTTCTAAGATTGTGGGCAAAAGTGGATTTAATTTAAAGGGATACTCCACTTTTTTTTTTGGAAATAGGCTCATTTTACAACTCCCCCAGATTTAAACAGTTGGGTTTTACCGTTTTCGAATCCATTCAGCTGATTTTCTGATATTTAGAAGAATATCAGTAACCAGAGAGTTTCTGGTCGCATTGACTTCCATAAGTCGGTTACTGATATTCTTCTAAATATCAGAAAATCGTCTGAATGGATTCGAAAACGGTAAAAACTCAACTGTTTAAATCTGGGGGAGTTGTAAAATGAGCCTATTTCCAAAAAAAAAAGTGGAGTATCCCTTTAAGTTTAATTAAACCATCAATATATGAGGGAAATAGTTTCTATTTTTAAAGGGGTCATGAACTGGCTTTTAAAATGTTATTATATTGTTGTCTGAGGTCAACTTATGACGTTCGCTTGGTTTTTGCATTCAAAAACATCAAAATGAATAAGTAATAGGCTATTTTGTACCCAAGTTGTGAGCCTTCCTGAAAAACGGTCTGTTTTTATGGGCGTCTCGCACTGAAGACTTGTAAATAAACGCCCACTGCTGTGAGTGGATAACAGTTTTGCATATTATAATGAGTTTAACTCACCCGTCGCAGAGCCATGACCCGTCGGTGTACGTGGGGGAAGACGTCCAATGTTGTCAAATGGCAACCGGATTCGCCCATACATGTTCAACCAAGAGTCCGTTTGTTGCACAATTCCTGTCAGATCCAATATAGACGGCACAGCACCGTTCTTTACTCTTAATCGTCTGCAAATCCAGTCTTGTTTATAAAACAATCCTCAGTGAAATGAAGCGAACAGACGAGGATGTTTTACCCTCATCAGCTGGAACGTCATTAAAAATAAAGTTTATCCATGAAGTCCTATTGGAATCCAGAGGAAGCTTATGCAGCGACTGTCTTCTTCCACAATATTCTGTATTGCTCGGTAGCTCGATCCGGTTTGTCATCACGAGGTAGGCATCTATGTTAGCACATTAGCTATACGTGTAATGCGAGAATCGGTGGGCGGGGTTAAACCGGCCGTGTTGAAGTAGGCGTTGATCTTCTTCTGCGGGGGTGGTGTTTTAACCCCTTCGACGTCTTAGTTTCCCACTTTTAAAAACGAGACGTTTTCAGAGGCTGGTGTCAATAAAAGCGTTTATTGGACTAACAAGGACGTTTTCAGTTCTGAAACTTACAGGATATTCTTATAATATGATGACCTCTTAGATGTCAAAAGCTCAAGGAAAATTAGATTTCTCAGTTCATCACCCCTTTAAAATATTTGAATAATGCTATAGAGCAATAAAGTGCAAGAGACATTTATCCCGCCGCTATATTAGGGTTGCCGCGGTGAGGAAAATTTCCCACCGGTTAATCGACGTGTGACAACACCGGTAATCCCGGTGTCACCGTGGAGGGCAGGGCAGGGGGGTTAAATAGCTTTTAAATGCGTGCGCGTTATACTTTCACTTTCGAAATAAGCGTCAATTGCTTGAATGGACAAAAAAAACAACTCGCTGATAATAAAACTTTTATTTATAGACTTTTATTAGCATAACGAACGAATAAAAATAACCCCATGCATAGGCTGAAAAAAGTGAAAATCGGCAAAATGTGGGCCCAAACAAATAAGAACCATAAAACGTTTATTAACGAATAAGAAAATAAAATAGGCCTAAATAAATTACACAAAGTTTAAATGAGATAAAACCAATTAAAAAGAGACGAATATAAAATAAAAACTTCAAAACGGACCTTAGCCTACATAAATGACATACTTTCACTTTCGAAATAAGCGTCAATTGCAGTTCAGCGTCAATTGCTGGAATGGACAAAAAAAAAAAAAAAAAAAAAAACAACTCGCTGACAATAAACTTTTATTTAGACAGCACTTTTATTAGAATAATAAACGAATAAAATATAGACAGAACTTTTATTAGCATAACGAACGAATAAAAATAAAGTGAAAATCGGCAAACTGTGGGCCCAAAAAAAAATAATAAAACGTTTATTAACGAATAAGAAAACAAAATAGGCCTAAATAAATTAAACAAAGTTTAAATAAGATAAAACCAAATAAAAAGAGACGAATATAAAATAAAAACTTTAAAAAGGACCTTAGCCTACATAAATGACAGCACTCTAAAAAAAAGTAAAACACTATAAATTGGCATTTATTAACATTAATATATATTGGCCAAAATATTGCCAAACAGGCGCTTTTGCATTGCGTTTTGACACCAAATCTTCCGCCATTATCTTGCTTTTCTGTAATTTGACTCGTTCTCGTCTCCACACGTGCTAAATGGAATCCTGATGCTTGCTGATCTGTGACGTGACGGCACGTGTTGCGCAGTTCATTTTTAATTATAATGCTCTCTTCAGAACTAAATAATTGAAAATTATTATTTTTAATTAATTCAAATAAATATTTTAGCAAAAACGAATACTTTAAAAAAAAAAGTCAAGACATCGCGGTGTCACGGTGGGAAAGTGATGTCACCGGTGATGGGGCTTAAAACCGGTAACACCGTCAACACCGTCTATCGCGGCAAGCCTACGCTATATATTAAACGGCAACAGCCCCGAGATCCGCCCACAAAGTTACTTGCGCTTTGCACTTGAAACTTGCGTTTCAGATGGTTAAAATAGGGCCCAAGGAGAATTCATGGAATGTTTCTAGAATGTATGGTTCTGGTTTTTATTCTGGGATAATGAGTTGTTCACTTTGTTTTCCAGGAACATCCAGCCCAAGAAGACTCCTCAGGACCGAGCTCTGCCACAGCTCTCCAAGTCCCGTGAGGAAGAGATCAGGAAGATCCTGCGCACAAACCTGCAGAGGACCCGCCAGAGAGTGAGTCAGCACTTCACTTCACTCTCAAACAGGCTTCTTTCTGTTTCTTTCACATCAAACTGGATTGTCTTCTGGTTTTTTTTTTTCAGCTGCGCTCGTACAACAGACACACACTGGTGGCTGATCCGTTTGAGGATGGCTGGAAGGACCTCATCAAACGCAAGAAACTGATTGATATGGAAAAGAAGGTTTGACGTCAACGATTGATTGATGAAAAATGATGTGTCGTTTCCAAAATCTATCGATTGCCTTGTTAATTCATTTAATTTCAGCAATTTTCTGCATCTCAATGAGTTGTTATACTCCATTATATATGTTTATTGGTATTATATAAGTTACTGGCCACCAAAACTCATCCTAGTTACACAAAAGCCACTGGAATGTGCTTTATTAATCATAATAGATGTTAGCATTGAAGGTTCTGTCTCGCTGCTTTCAGATACTGATGAGCAATCACCTGACCGTTCCAGCTCCGCCTCCCGATTCCCCGAGCGTTGCTCGAGCTCGACTGTCTTCAGGTGAGCGCCGTCGTCTTCTCTGCTGGATCTCAGATATATGACTTTAGGATCCTGTTGTGTCACTGAAATCTTTCTCTTCCGCCCCAAGGCTTTCGTCTCGGTGAATGTGCGGTCAATCATTCAGGTTTCAGTCGTTGCACAGCGCCCCCTATTGATTTCGCTGATTTAATCGTAATGCACAATCAAGCCATATTCCTTACAAACATCTACCAAGTTATTATTACAATAAAATTGTGGTAAATGGATATTAGAGATATATAGTGAATACAGCAGACACTATAGTGAATTACTATGGTTTACCGTAGTAAAAATAAATCACTGTAGTAATTTGACATCAACTAATAGTAAAAAAAGAAATGCATCATATTGCAATAGTCAGAGAACCATCTTGAATCCCTTATTACAGTATCGATTGATTGATTTGTTTATTTAAGTGTCCAGCCCTCATGGGCTTATTAGACTACAGTAATAATTTCACAATTAGCCACGTGGAATAGCAACATAGCATACGTAACTAAACCACTAAAAATAAGTACACATGGTTTGTCACAGAGACCAGGCCTTTTCTATACATTTTGCCAAAGCAAAAACATCATTTCTCAGACATCCTGCACAAAATCTCCCCTTCATTTTTCCAAAATATACTGATTTTTAACTGATTTAATTCAATACAGTAAATTGTTAATTTGTATTAGTTAATTGCATAAACTGTAACAATTTTTTTTTGTTTTATTTTCCAGTAAAAATACTTTAATGCAATTAAATAAGCACAATTTAGTAAGATTGGACTATTTTTTTTAGAAAGTTAATTGATAAATATTGAAAAAAAAAAAAAGTTTTTTTCTCGTTTTAAACAAACTTTATAAAATTTTGTTGGATTTTTGCTTCAACACACACAGACACGCACACAAAAAAAGTATAATCCTTAGCTAATTCTATTATTACTGTAACAATTTTTTGTTTTATTTTCCAGTAAAAATACTTTAATGCAATTAAATAAGCACAATTTACTAAGAAGATTAGACTTTTTTTTTTTTTAGAAAGTTAATTGATAAATATTGGGGGAATAAAAGTTTTTTTCTTGTTTTAAACAAACTTTATAAAATTTTGTTGGATTTTTGCTTCAACACACACAGACACGCACACAAAAAAAGTATAATCCTCAGCTAATTCTATTATTACTGTAACAATTTTTTGTTTTATTTTCCAGTAAAAATACTTTAATGCAATTAAATAAGCACAATTTACTAAGAAGATTAGACTTTTTTTTTTTTTTAGAAAGTTAATTGATAAATATTGGGGGAATAAAAGTTTTTTTCTTGTTTTAAACAAACTTTATAAAATTTTGTTGGATATTTGCTTCCAACACACACAGACACGCACACAAAAAAGTATAATCCTTAGCTAATTCTATTATTACTGTAACAATTTTTTTGTTTTATTTTCCAGTAAAAATACTTTAATGCAATTAAATAAGCACAATTTAGTAAGAAGATTAGACTATTTTTTTTTTTAGAAAGTTAATTGATAAATATTGGAAAAAAAAAAGTTTTTTCTTGTTTTAAACAAACTTTATAAAATTTTGTTGGATTTTTGATTCCAACACACACAGACACACACACACAAAAAGTATAATCCTTTGCTAATTCTATTATTACTGTAACAATTTTGTGTTTTATTTTCCAGTAAAAATACTTTAATGCAATTAAATAAGCACAATTTAGTAAGAAGATTAGACTATTTTTTTTTAGAAAGTTAATTGATAAATATTGGAAAAAAAAAAGAAGTTTTTTTCTTTTTTTAAACAAACTTTATAAAATTTTGTTGGATTTTTGCTTCCAACACACACAGACACGCACACAAAAAAGTATAATCCTTAGCTAATTCTATTATTAATTATACTTATGCTTTTTAAGTTAAGTCATTTATCTTTAAGTAAAACAGTGCTATTTTTAATATACTATAATATTGTATTATATAAATATATTTTGATTTAAATATTATTGTAATTCAATTTTTTGTTTAAAATTGAGGACTTTTGTTATGAGTTTTATTTAGCTTTTTTATTTCAGTGTGTTAGAGTAAAATACTGCTGAAGGCGAAGGTTTTGTGCGATGAAGTTTCCCTCTTCTCTGAAACAGACCCTCAGGCGTGGGGCATCAAGGCCGTCACAGAAAGCATCCCCACCATTAAAGTGGACCTGGCCTCGCCTCAGAGCCCGGACCCCGTCAACACGCGGGACGAGTTCGGCAGCAAAGCAAGCCAGCCGAAGGAGAGCCAGGAGGAGGGCGGCCTGATGATGAAACCACCCTCTCCTGCGAAGGAGAGAAAGGACAAAATGGCGTACGAGGATGATGATAAGGAGCCTCAGCGCCTCATGCGCTGTCTGAGCGACCCGGGGCCCACCGCCGACGAGGAAGACGAGGACGAACCCTTCCTCCCCTGAGAGAGCAGAACGAGCTCTTAGACATGAAGGACAGATTTATACTCTATAGGAAGCCGAAACGAGAGAAACGTCAGGAAAAACCAAACTGTTGATGAACCAAAATAAAGAAAATGAAAGGGAGCGATGAAAAATAGCCTTTTTTTTTTTTTTGCGCTTGTCGTTGTTCTTTTTATTTCAAACCCAAAGGCTTTTTCACACCAAGCACGATATTACAAAAACATTTAAAGATGTCGTTTTAAAAATCATTGTAAATGGAATAGCGGAGTCCACACGACAGAGATAACAATAACGAATGATTAGCCAATCAGAATCCACCAGAGCTCGAGTTATTATAGTGGCAGACTATAAACGATATTGTGCATTCGTGTGGACGATGATATAGTCAACTAGGAACACCCCCACCTCCCACGCACAATTGTTATTATAATAAAAAAATATATATATATTTTATTGAATATATCGTATTTTGTAGAATGTAAAGAGAGTATTTAATAATAATAATAATAATATATTGCATTATAATAGAACATGTTATATAAAATATAGTAATAATAATAATTTTATTTTACCGTACAGTAAAATTACAGTACTAACATTTATGGTTGCCTTAATTTCTTTGCTTTCAAACATTAAACCAATTGAACTTTTAAAACTCTTTATTGACAACAGATTTATAAATTACGGTTGCGTTCTTAAATGCAAATTATAAGCGTCTGAAACTCGTTAGCGTTAGCATTCACACTGACTCTGAAACGTGCAGCGCTTCAGACTAGACTGTATATTTATATGTTCACAACTTTAGCGATTTGATGATCGCAGTAAGCCATATAACATTCTCGTCTCGTCACAGGACTTAAACCCTTTCAATGTGGAGTTTAACGCTCGTTTGGCTAACATGCTAATAGTCTGCCGCTGTGAGCAATCCGTGCATGAAATAAGTGTATTAGAAAATGAAACATTTTACAATTTATTTAGGCAGTTTCGTGATTTCAATGAAATCCCCCTCCCCCACATGATTGAACACGCGGCTTATTATTACAGATCTATGCATTACCAAACGCTCGCACTGTTCAGTCTCTATATTCAGGTAAACCGTGTCTCTTGCCATTTTTTTAGAGCATTGTTGTGTTTTCTTGGTGTTCGTTCACATAAATTGGCTTTATTTGTTTTTATCACTAGTTGTTTTACCTCATGAGGAATTAGACTCGTTCATCAGGAGCAATAATAGGAAACTGGCCACATTATGACCTTTCTTTTATTTATCAGTCAGATGGTCATAACTATACGAGTCAGTTGCTCAAAACTAAACGAAGACGGTGATATTCATATTTTCTCTGACTAATTATTAACCACACGTGGAAGACCATTGAGGTCACGCTTATTTGCATAAAAGACCTGAGAACCAACTTGTGGAGATCGCACAGATTTGCATTTTACACCAAAAAGTCGCATGACCAAATTGATTGGTTGTGATCATCCTTTGCTTATACTTTATTAAATTAAAATGGCCTTGTTATTATATAATCGGTAACGCTTCCTTTTACAGTACAGTACTTACCTAGAAAGTACTGGCTAATATAAGGTAAGTACATGGAACAGGGGTAGGTTCAGGGTTTGTACTAGTTATTACCCGGTAATTCTAGTTACTAAAATAAGTACATAGTATTTACATGGGTAACTGGACTGTAAAAGGAAGTGTTACCATATAATCTTATTCCCTTTAAAGCTTTTGTGACCAGTCATGACCGCTCTGAAGGAGATCTGGACCATCGTATTCTCAAACCTTGATTTAACTTACAGGAAGAGTTCATGCTAAAGATGATGTCATTATCTACTCACCCTCGTTTCATAAACCACACCAATATGCTGTAGAAATTATGACATACTAAGTCATAAGTTTGAGATAAAATTGTGAGATAAAAAGTCATAGTTATCACATAAAAAGTCAAAATTGTCAAAAAGTGAAAACGGACACACTAAATCATTATGAGATAAAAAGGCAAAATTACAACTTACTAACACTAAGACACAAGTATGATATAAAATTGGCATTTGACAAAAAGTCAAAGATATGACGAACTAAGCCATAATAGTCAAAATTATGATATAAAAAGTCATATTTATGTAATAGTTGAAATTACAACAGAAGTCATAATTATGAGATAAAAAGTCAAAACTGAGTCATAATTATGAGATAAAAAGGCGAAATTACAACAAAAGGTCGAAGTATTAAGCCATAATTGTGAAGTTTAAATAATGAGATGGTCATAATTATGATATGAAGTGGAAATGAACAAAAAACAATCTGACGTACCAAGTCATAATTTGTGAGAGTCGAAATTGAGATTTTAAAAAAAGTATGATGACAAAAAGTTGATTGCATGTCATAAATATGTCTTTTTATATTGTAATTATGACTTGATTTTTTTTATTTCAGTATTCGTATAGTTAGTCATATTTATGATTTAACAAAAAGCTGCGTAAATCTAAACGGAATTAGTTGGACACTTTCCCCAAACTCCCCATAGCTCAGCCTTCGCGCACACACACATTCCTGCCGGGGGTTAATGCTGATTCGTGTTGCGGTGTGTTTGTTTCCTGAAAGAACGACACAGTCTGGACTCTTCTAAAACCTGTGTGTTGAATTATTCCCTTTCAAAGCTTCGCACCACAATCACAACACTCTGCCACCGGAGCAGATCCGCCTCTGAAGGGGCGTTGCATACTTAAAAGAAGAAATAATACATCAAATTCAGAGAGCGTTGCATGCACAAACGGTAGATTAGCCTTATTTTAATCTAGATGTGGTGAAATCAGATCTATATATTTTATGTGAACTATAGATGTCTATATTCTGCTTTGAAGAATTGCAATGCTAACTGACCAATTATTTAGTGAGCTTGTTTTGCCTTTGAGCGTCGTCCGCTTTAGTCGTGTTGAACAGGACGATGCGCATCATGGACTGCAGTATTCACACCGATGACCAGCTCCAATAAACAGAATTCTGTCACGATCTACTCAACCGCATTTTGTTTACACTGTAAAAAAATGCTGGGTTGTTTTAACCCAATTTTGGGTCAAATATGGATAAACCCAAATGCTGGGTTAAATGCAATTTATAAATTTAACCCATCTGGGTTTGTGCATATTTAACCCAAAATTGGGTTAAAAAACAACCCAGCATTTTTTTTACAGTGTATTTTCCAGAGGAGCATGCTTTTCTTTATGCAATTAGTTGAATTATTCATTTTTATGGGTAATATTTTAAATTAGGGTTTATTTTTCCATTTTCAAGTTTTAGTAATTTTATTATAATTTTTAATAGTTTTTGTTTTTGTCTTTATACACAAAATCCTGGGTTGTTTTAACCCAAGTTTAGGTCAAATATAGATAGACCCTAAACATGTAATTAAAAATTTGACCCAATGGCCTGGTTTGTCCTTGTTTGACCCAAAATTGGGTTAAAACAACCCAGCATTTTTTTTAGAGTGTATTTTCCAGAGGAACATGCTTTTTCTTTATGCAATTAGTTATATTATATATATGAATATTTTAAATAACGTTTTATTTTTCACATTTTTTACTAGTTTTTTTTTTTATCTTTATACACACTAAAAAGTGCTGTTGTTTTAACGCAAGTTTGGGTCAAATACGGACAAACCCAAATGTTGGGTTAAAAATGTACTGTAATTAAAAAATTTGACCCAATGGCTGGGTTTGTCCTTATTTGACCCAAAATTGGGTTAAAACAACCCAGCATTTTTTTTAGAGTGTATTTTCCAGAGGAACATGCTTTTTCTTTATGCAATTAGTTATATTATATATATGAATATTTTAAATAACGTTTTATTTTTCACATTTTTTACTAGTTTTTTTTTTTATCTTTATACACACTAAAAAGTGCTGTTGTTTTAACGCAAGTTTGGGTCAAATACGGACAAACCCAGATGTTGGGTTAAAATGTACTGTAATTAAAAAATTTGACCCAATGGCTGGGTTTGTCCTTATTAGACCCAAAATTGAGGTGAAACAACCCAGCATTTTTTTGAGTGTAACTTTTATTCATGTCTATTTTAGTTATTTCAGTAAATCAAGTTTATTTTAAGAAACTTTTTAATGTTTTTGAGGGTGGTTTAAAAAAAGGGCATAAATTAGATTTTTGAGTGAAATATTTATTTAAAATGAACCGTCTTTGACATGAAGCTGAATGCCAATGATGAGTTTGTTTTAATGGTATTCTGTGTATTTGATAAGTTCGCTAGCTTTCATGTGTTTTCAGCATTTTGTTTGTCCTTTTTTTATTGCCTGGCACTGTACTGTAATTTTCTACTCATATTCACCATAAAGCCTTTTTATATGAAGTTCGGTTTACTTTTGCTTTGCATCATTTTGCCTTCTGTTATCCGTTTATTACTCGGACGATTCTGTGAGTTTACATTATTTTGTATTTTTTTTGTGTGTGCTTTAAACTGCTGTTCATCTGTGTGTGATCATGCAGATTCAGATGGGATTTATGCCTCATAAAAGCTAATTTCAGCTTCCAGGTTGTTTGATCATTCGTGATCTTTCGTCTCTTTGCTAATAGTTTGACTCAGACACTTTAATGGCCTTTATTTTTATTTTTATGTCATTTGTGACACCGGGAAGTGACATGAATGCAGGCTTACTAATGTAAAAAGACTGAACAAATCTCTGAAAGGAGTGTGTGATCATACATGAAGCCACTTTCACAGTTTTAAATGGCCCATCTATGTCTTATCTTATTTGTTTGAAGCAAAAGGTTCAACTTTTGCTTCTCTTTCAGGTTTTATTCTGAGGTTGTTGTATCAATCCTGATGAATATTTGATGAAGGACTGTATAACATGCGTACTGTTCTTAAACTCTAAATGAAATGACTTTATAAAAACCATTGCATGAATTATGTGCTGTTATTTATTTGACCAAAAGACACCAAATGCAACATTTGTGCTGAGAAGATCTTGGTAATATAATCGTGAGCTTTCGTCTTCATAACTTCATAGTCGTCTGTTTCTAAACACAGATGTAGCAGATATGGTCTTTCCTCATTATATTTAATGTTTGAAGCACTTTAACAGAACCTTTCAAACATGATTCCAGCAATAATTAAGCCATTCAGTTAATAACTTAATATGGTAAACGCTTAGGCTTTACCTCTCTGTGTGATGTAAAGATCATGAAATATTAAAAGCTGATTTGAAATGTGTTGATTTCTGGTTTTATAGATTTTGAACCATGATTATTTTCTGCACAAGTTACTGATGTGGTCAAAATGTCACCAGTTCTTTATCATCAGCATGTTATTAATCTGCTGTCGTGTAATTCACTGTCGTTTGATAAAGTGCGTCATCATGTATTTGCAACCAAATGTTTATTTTAAATACAAGAAAAAAATAAATCACAAAATAAGATTTGAGATATCTGCAAATGTCAAAGCCAAGAGTGTACACTAAAAGGATTCACTGTATTGGTCAAGTCGCCTGCAGCTTCACAGTTTTGCTCTTGCATTCTGGGATCTCACATTTATGGTCATCAGAGATACACAAATAAAGTTTTAATTTGCTAAAAAGCATCTGTTTTCTCTTTCATTTGAATGCTGCGTCCCAAATCGCATACTCTTTAGAGTAACTTTTTGAATAAGTAGACTAATTACTTGGCAATTGCTAGTATGACTGTAATCCCGATTTACAGTATTTTAAGTAGGCTACATGTAAGTGCACGTACTGTAAAATAAATTGCAACCCAAATACTTCTTCAAATTCAGTTAAGTAATGCATTTGATACTAATTTAGACTCATTTGCTCCTTTAAAATCACATTCTCTGAGTCTGAGGCTCTGGAAATAGAGGTATCATGAAATCTGCCACTTGCTCGATCCTATTCGTCTATTTATATCTCGCTTTGATGTTATTTTGCCCTCCTGTACTCAGTATAATAAATGATTCAATGCAGTTTGGGGTTGTTCCTGCTGTAACTCCTGTGCCAAGAAAAGAAAATCCTGCCCTGGATGACTTTAACAATTTCCACCCCATTTCAAATCTTGTTGTTTTTTTTTTGTGCAAAAGTACTAAAACTCATGTGACCACCTTAAGTTGGTAATGTCTTCGAACCCCTTCAGTCAGGTGTTTGTAAATCTCACAATACTGAAACATCTCTGGTCAGGGGTGACAATGACGTCTGATTCTGCCGCTATTTCCATTCTCATCCTCTCTGAGCCGCTTCCGATAGTCTTTTACTTACCTAGAAAGTGCTTTGGTGTTTCGGGGACAGCTTTAAACTGGTTTAAATCCACCTGACCATTCCTAGTTCATTGCCTTGAGTGGTTTCAAGTCTGAGATTAGCTCCGTTTTCACTGGTGTTCCCCAGGGCTCAGTTTTAGGCCCTTTTAACATCTACTTGTCACCACTCGGGCATCTGTTGCGATCGCTTGGCCTTCATTATATGCTGACACTACTCTATATACTCGAACCCTGGTGAAAATCTGAATGTTTTTTTGCTTTCTGATTGTGTTTCTGAGATCAAAATATGGATGAATTGTTTTTTTTGTTTTTTTAGTTTGAATAGTATTAAACTGAAGTTACTTGCTTCCCTAAACTATACCTACTTTTCTGTTGATGGTACTGTTTTGAGAATCCAATAAATTTGAGGAACTTTGGAGTAATCTTTGGTGCCAGATCCTTACAGAACACTATTAAACATCTTTTTTTCACCTCAGAAATACAACGAGATTGCGTGCTATGCTTAATGTTGTCTCGATTGCCTGTAATGCCCTTTTAGCCGGAGGCCTATCTTATCTACACTTAACAAAATTTCAACATGTACAAAAGTTGCCTGGATGCTAGTTATGCAATCATATCACTGCTAGAGTCCTCGCACTGGCTCCCGCTCCCGCTCGAGGTCCTGTGTTGCTTTTAAATGTACAGTATGATGCTCACAGCAGCTCCACGGTATTATTGATCAGAATCGCTCCGTAGTCGTAGTTAACAATCTAATCTGGGGCCAGTTGTATAAACATAGCCATTTATATTAAGACAGTGTCTTAAGAATTAGTATGACCAACTAGCAGTTAGTTAGGGCTAATTAGTCTGTTCGGTATTAATTAGACTAATGTACATTTTTATGTAACTAACTTTAAAAAGTTAAACAGTCTTGTTTTGAACAGTCTTGAGGAAATAAATTGGATGACTTGTAAGTCTAGTTTTAGCAGTCATGCAACTCACCACTGTCGGCTGTTCCTAGTATGGGTGACAGCCAGGGCTTTTATTATGCTCTTCCTCTTGAATTGAGGGAAACCCGCAAGATCAAATTATTTTCTTATAAATCAACACATTTTTTAGACTAGTGTATGCTTGCTGATTTTAGTTTTTTTATCATTGTATTCATTGATTCACTTATTGTTTATCTTGTGTACAGAGCTTTGAGAAGATATTCGCTTGTCGCTTCACCGTCATTCATAAATCATCTCCCGTGGCTTCATGGGATAGTAAAGTGTCAGTCAGATGCTAACTTCACAATCTTAGAGGAAGTAGTAGGACATCCGGGTACTTTTTGCCTACCGTGAAATTCGGACATACTTTTATCACATCTCTTTGCAGTTTGATGTACTGAGATGCACATGCACGACACAACCAGCAGAGGCCGATCGGTTTCATAAATATCAATGGAGTCCAACACACACACAGGTCTGAAACTCTACAAAATGATTGATCAAATTATTATTTCAACAACTGATCACTAAAAGGAGGCGTTTAACCTTTGACAAATGCATATCATCAGCTTCAAAAGGTCTGATTTTTTTTTAATGCAGTTTTATACCTTGATTTATTCTACCAATAAAGACTAAATAGGCTAAACATCAAAATTCAAATTTAGTCTAAATTAAGCTCATTCAGTCTGGGCTAGTTATTGCTAACTTTATAAGAAAAATATTAGATTATTTTTCTTACAGTATGAAAAAATGTTAAGCAGTCAACACTTAAATTTGCATAAAAATGAAAATGGAAATGAGATCATTTACTTACTTTCCCTCAGGGTTCAACATTATCTAAAACCAAAGCCATTTTTCATTATTTCAGCTTAGTGTCCATTTAGAAAGATTTCTCATTGATGTTGTTGAAGTAAACTAACTAGAAAAAAAATACTAAAAACCAAAAGTTAATAAAAACAATACAGACATATATTAAAAATGATTCAAATTACTACTAAATTAAATGAAAATGTATATATTAATGAACATTATTATTAGTTCAGGCTGTACTACCTCAAATTCATGTTGGGCTAATTTTACGTTAGATATTAATAATTAATTTCAAAGAAACCTTGGTTTTGTGCATCTGATGCTGCTTATGTAATCGCTCTTATTGTTTGATATTCTTTTGATTAAGGACTGTGACACACACAGTCTCTCATGTATAATCCTTGTGTGCTTGGGTCTAGACACACAGCACTCTTGGCCACATTAGTGCTCATTTATTCTTGTTTGGATGCTGTTAAATTGCTCTGACTCATGCTCTACAGAAGCAGAGGAGTCAATTTTGATGCGGCTGGTGAGATTAATGTGACCTATTTGCATCCCGATATGCTTTTTTGCCCCAGATTGTTCTTGAGTGCTGAGATGAGTGTCTTTCTGTGATATTTGGATCCTATTATTGAGATATTCAAATGATGAATCAAACAGTTGCATCTGTGCCAATAAGCCTAAAATTAAAGTCTGCATAGAGTGAGTATTTTATATGCTTATTGAGCATTTGGGAAACATTTTCAAAATTCATGCCCAGAGGGAAACCCTTTCTGGCTAGACACTTCATTTCAGTGTAACTTTTAGGAGGAATCATATATGCAGTGACTTTAAACGCATTAACATTGAATAGGGAGCATTGTTTATATGCAGAATCATAATCTGCTAAATACTTTGATATTTAAAGTCTCAAAAGCTTGTGCATATGAAGGTATCTACTCTCCAAAAATATATGCAATAAAAGCATTATTTGATTGTTGTGAGGTTTTGTAGAGCGGGTCATTTATACACAGCGTCTAATCTCTGAATTAAACAACCCGATAAGAGAACATTTCCCATTAGGGGTGTCCAGTAAACAGCCGTCCCGTGAGACTGAAGTCAACACCGAATGGAAATTTTCTGCTGCCGATTGCACTATACTTTTTTCTTGACCTTTGTAAACTAACTTAGTTTCTGCTGTGGTTGGTTGTTTCTTCTTAATGATCAACACCGGATTAATCAGGATCATTCGTCTTATTAGGCCTATGTTCCAGGAAAACTGTCCTCTGTCTCCGTCCAGTTTAATTGGAAAATCTGTTGAATTTCTGCATTGATTTCTGCTTTGGTTTGGTGTTGCTTATTCGCTTTAAACTTGTGATTCGTTTTGTTTTGCTAAACCAAGTTAAATCTAGACAAAGTGCCAGTGCTGTGAGAAAACATTCTCTCAATGCAACACTCTTAGAAGAAAAGCTTCTGTATAGGATCTTAACAGATTTCAATTATAACCTTTAATTCATTTTTTTTAATTAAACAGCACATAACCCATTAAATATGAAAGTATTATTGAATTATTTAGAACCTTTTTTGACATAAAGTCTTCTTTTAAATTGAGTCAGGAACCCAAGAGTTCTAAATAGAACCTAATAGTGATTGTGAATATGTTACAGGCAATTCAATTCAATTCAATTTTATTTATGTATAGCACACTTAAAACAACCAAGGTGCTTCACCAGATAGATACAACAACAATACACTACTCACACAATAAAGTACTGAAATAGAACTGTAAAATATAGCTATAAATGAGATGTAATCATATTTACATTAAAAAGATTTTTTTTTAAAAGTTGTCAGGAGGGATAACAAACCTAACTCGAATGAACCTACCGAAAGCTTATACCTATCAGGCATAAGCAGAATATGTTTCATAACTTCATTCAAACATTGTTTTCTTTATACTTTTACGATTAAAGTAAGCCTGAAGAAGGTCGATTGACCAAAATGATTTATATTTTCTAAGATTATATTTTTTAAATCTCCCACTGACAATGTTGTAATGGAATTATTTAGCCAATCTGAGAAGACATGGATGTGTTCCGGTTTGCTGTCATCTGATTGGCTGATATATTACTTTGAGAGAGACTGAAGTAACGGAGTAACGGATTGAGAACGGCAGGTATTAGTGTATTACACACACACACTTCCTTTTTCCACACACACACACTTCCTTTTGGTTGAAATCACTGACTTTTTAAAAAATAAGATATTTTGAAAGAATGTTGGTAACCATGGATGGAACTGTTTGGTTACGTTGTTTCAATTAAAAAAATAATAAAATAAGAAATTGTATGGAGATATTTTGACATTCTTCAAAATATATTTTGTGTTCAACAGAAAAAAAAACGTTAAAGGTTCTTTATGCAGCCAATGCTAATAAAAAAAATCTTTATTTTTAAGAGCGCGCGAGCGCGCGTCCAGCTCCCTTTCTCTGAATGTAATTTGGGCCTAATGGGTGAAGCTAGAATATCCTATCCCAAATCCCATAACTCTACCCATAACTCCCATATTCCCACATTTTATTTCATGGAGTGGGAACCAAGTTCTTCAAAACGATACCCGCACCCGCCACACGATGGATGTATGTGCACGCGGTTGCGCGCTCTCTCGCGCGGCGCCGGTAATGACTCGCTCGCGCTCTCCGCTGCTGCTGCTGATCAGACGCGTTTGCGGCAGACCGCCCAGATCTCCGAGCCTGACCGAGCTCTGTTTCAGTCTCTGTGCGGATCACTACGGCTTCATTTCAACGCGTCTACAGCGAGAGAATATCCCGCAGCGACCCGCGTTCGCTTTCTTCCGTCCTTCTCTGGTGATAAACCAGGCGAGCGCGGAAGAGAACGCGCAGTAATGGGAAGATACAACGTGCTTTCATTAGATTACATTTCCGAAGAATGACCCATCCATCTGTCGATCACGCTTTACCAGCTCAAACATCCTTCTTCACGCATTGGACGTAGACTTTCGGAGCACAGAAGAGTTGAGCGCGTGCACGGCGCATAAAGCTACAGTTTTTAGTAAACACTTGGACCGAATTTCGGCGTCTCGTCGGTTCGCGGACTCTCTTGACTTGATCTTTGGATGTATTTCTGCAGCTCTTGATGGAGTGGTGTGCACTGTGCCAAACGCACATAGATATCGTGAAGTAGGCTAACCTATGAGCTTGCAATTTTGGAGGTTATCAGCTGAGATGCGTTTGACTTCAGTCACTCAACTTCAGTGTTGCGCGGTTTGGCCACGAGTCTTCATCATCAGAATCATTAGAAAGCAGTTGTGTGGAAGCACGGTGATACTCGCCCTTTAATACAGGGCATTTTTCACTTTTTAAAAGTGCGTTTTGTCAGAACGCTGTGTGTTTGTAGGGAATACGCGTGTGTTTTGATTACGACGTTGGGTGTGCATGATATTTTAGGCAACTTCAATGCTGCTTAACCTTTTTTTTTATATATATATAGTACGGCTCATAGTTAATCATCTTTGGTGTGTTTGCAATTGCATGCACTTTGCTCGCCTTTTAATATAAGGCATTGATGCATGTTGGCTGTGCATGCCTTTATTGACTTTTTAAATGATGCTTTAACTTTAGGTTTGCATTTAGGTTTATAAACGCCTACTAGTTAAGCACCAGTGTTTGCAGGCACGTTTTATTATGTGTTAATGTGATTTTGGCTGTAGATATTATTATAGGCTTACGCAACTCCGATTTCATCTCATTGATGAGCGTCATCATCTTTAGAAAGCAGTTGTTTTGGATGTACGAAACATGTTGTTGCCGTAAGACCTTAAAAGTCTCCATTTGGTCTCTCAGATGAGATTAAAACTGAAACTTAAGGAAGCTACAGTGATGCTCAATGACGCTGTGCGCGAATGTGCTGACGCCACCTGTGGTCTCTTAAATCGATTGATTCAGAAAGATTTAGGCACTTTGACCAGGAGAGAGTTCAGGTTGCACAACAGCCGTGTCGCTTGCGCTTTCTAACCACGAGACAAGAGAAGTTTTGATCGCGCATTGTGTGTAGTCCACAGTATAATCGTGCGTGACGTGAAAGTTGAGAGTTTAAATGGTGCTCCGAAAGTTACCCGGTGTCTCAGCATCGGGCATGGGGCTTCGTCTGTCTCAGAAATTCGTCTTTCTGCTGTTCCTGTCAGGGTTGGTAACTCTGTGCTTCGGGGCTCTTTTCTTTCTACCCGACTCCGTGCGTCTGAAGCGCATCTTCCTCTCCAAGAACGAGAGTCCCGCAGTGACCGTTGGCTCCGACAATGAGCTTTCCAAAAAGGTACCCGTGGATCAAGAGCATCAGCGGACGGGTTTAAAGGGGCTTGAGGTGAATGTCAAACCGAAAGTGAGCCGCAAGCCCTCGGTCACCCATGGCGCGAGAACTGTGGAGAGATCTGTTGGGAGTAGAGCGCAGGACGAGTGGAGTCCGGCGAGGGCGCACGAACCGCCGGCCAGGGACGAGCGGGTCACCTCGGGCGCTCTTAACGGCCAACACGGCGCCACTTTCAGCCACGAGACGTTTAAAAAGTGCCTGCTGAAACCAGCTCTGGGGAAGGACCAGGGAAAGCCATCTGATTCCGAGACGCTTCAGCGGAGGGAGAAAGTCAAAGAGGTGAGGAAGATGTCCATCTTTGCCACATATGAAAAATAAAATCATGCTTTGGGAAATCGTAATCAGACATAATTATGGGATAAAAACTCAAAACGCGATTTTGACATACTAATTGATTCAGACGAAGTTAAAATTACAAGTCATTAATATATAAAACTTTTCATGTCATAACGACTTATGACGTGGTGCACTGTATAATATTTGAGGTAAAAAAAATTGTTAACTTGCTGCACTGTAAATTTTCAGTTGGTTCAACTAAAGTGCCGAGGTTAGAAGATATTTTCAGTTGGCTCTAATACATTTTTCAATGCATCAAGTCGAGGTAAAATTGAATTTTAGTGTATGATATAGTGTACAGCATGATTAGGGGCCAAGCACCGAAGGTGCGGAGGCACCTATTGTATCTGTGCCGGTTCTTATTATTATTATTAGGGGCCAAGCACCGAAGGTGCGGAGGCACCTATTGTATCTGTTCCGGTTCTTATTATTATTATTATTATTATTATTCTTCTTCCGACTGGGCGTCTATGGCAGCCCATAGACCGGTTTGCGGGAAAGTTGTTTTGGTTTGACATTCTGATAGAGGACAGTCCCAACTTTAAATACACCAAATTTGGTGTCTCTAACTCATTCTCTCTAGCGCCACCAACTGTCCAAAGTTTCACTTTTATTATGCTAATAACTTTTGAACCGTAAGGCCTATCAACAAAATTCTTTTTTCCTCTTGTTCCTGAGCTCATGCCGATTCGATCGCACCCTATGACGTCATTTTCCGTCATAAAAACATGGCCGCCATTTTGAATTTTCTAAAAAACGTACTTTTGCGAACTCGTCCTAGACCGTTTGTCCGATTTTCACCAAAATCGCTCCGGATCATCTCCAGGCAGTGCTGACAAAAAGTTATGGAATTCAAGATGATTCGAATAACCGTTTTCGATAAACGCGTAAACAAAATTTACGTAGCGCTTGCGAAAACAGACGTGAGGTTGTATCTCCGCAACGCTTACTCGTTTTCACACCAAACTTGGTACGTGTTATCACAAGCATGACCTGAGGCTACGTGCTGCGTTTCGGCGCAGCGCCACCTAGTGGTCCGGAGATATGAAAAATGGCTATTTTTGCTCGTAACTTCTGAACGGTTTCTCCAAAAATCAAAAACTTGGTCTCGTTAGATTCAGGGCGTCATGCCGAGTCGACCGATATCCAATTTTCCCAGATCGGCCATTTTGGCTGTCGGCCATTTTGAATTATGTGCTAAAATGCTGTATTTTTTGAACGCATGAACGAATTGTTACGAAACTCGGTATGGGTCATCAGTACGATGCCCTGAAGGAGCCTGAGAAGTTTCGAAACAGCACCACCTAGTGGTGAATTGTTTTATTCAAATGCTTATAACTTTGGGTGTGGTACACTTATTTTCACGGGAGTCATATTTTTGAGGTCCTGAATCGTTGCCGAGTCCAACGATATCAAATATGTCGGGTTTCGTCTCACGGATGGCGTAGCGTAGCGATTTAGCGCAAAAAAAACACTTGGCGATATCTTCAAAACCGCTGTTCCGATCGAGACGAAACCACCGTCAGAAACACGGAATCATAGCTTGTTAACTAAACGCTAATGCCCAAATGCAAAAATATTGATAGTAAGGGGAAGTAAAATTCAAACAAAGTCATGTGTCAGTCATTTTTTACGTGTTTTTTCATATAAATGTTTATAACTCGGAAGCGAATTGAGATATTTTCACCAAAATTGACACACATATGTATGGGGTCACTCTGAGGGCACACACAAAAAATTGTGGGACTGAGCCTCTTGGTGGCGCTATAATAGAACAAAACGTGAAATTCCCATTGACTTCAATACAGTTTTGTGAAATACAATGCTATACTAAATAAATGCTTTGGTCTAACATTACGAAACTCAGTGTGTACCATAAGCAGCATGCCCTGAAGGTACTCAAAATATTTTGAGACAGCGCCACCTGTTGGTCAAAAGTTATAATTAATTTCTGAGAACGCTAATAACTTTTGAATAAATTTGCCTATTGCAATGAAACTGATCTTAATAGATTCCTTGGGTTATGCCGAAAACATAGATGTCAGGTTTTGCATAATCAGCTAAACTTCCTGTCCGCCATCTTTATTTCTTTGAAAAACCTTCTTTTTCGAACTCCTCCTAGACCGTTTGTCCGATTTTCACGAAAATTGAATCGTATCATCTCCAGACCGTGCCGACTAAAAGTTATGAATTGCACGATGATAGACAAAACCGTTTTCGTATACCACAGCATCAAAGTTTAGGCATGCTGCCAAAATTACTATTTAGGCTTTATCTCTGCAATGCCTTCACATTTTGACACCAAACTTTGCATGTGTCATTGTCACCTCACTCTGACCACATCACATCTATTTCGTAACTGCGCCACCTATTGTTAGAAAGTGATAACCCATTAAATCGTCTTATAAGTTAATGTTTATGTGATTTTCTTAGCCATTTGCCCAAAGTTCTCTCAAAATGCCCTTAATTGCTCCTTGCTGCAGTTGGTCTGCCACTCCTTGCCATTTTGGCATATGTTGCCGCTTTTTGCGCTTGGCCCCGGTAATGGCTGCTTGCAGCTATATTTATTATTATTATTCTTCTTCCGACTGGGCGTCTATGGCAGCCCATAGACCGGTTTGCGGGAAAGTTGTTTTGGTTTGACATTCTGATAGAGGACAGTCCCAACTTTAAATACACCAATTTTGGTGTCTCTAACTCATTCCCTCTAGCGCCACCAACTGTCCAAAGTTTCACTTTTATTATGCTAATAACTTTTGAACCGTAAGGCCTATCAACAAAATTCTTTTTTCCTCTTGTTCCTGAGCTCATGCCGATTCGATCGCACCCTATGACGTCATTTTCCGTCATAAAAACATGGCCGCCATTTTGAATTTTCTAAAAAACGTACTTTTGCGAACTCGTCCTAGACCGTTTGTCCGATTTTCACCAAAATCGCACCGGATCATCTCCAGGCAGTGCTGACAAAAAGTTATGGAATTCAAGATGATTCGAATAACCGTTTTCGATAAACGCGTAAACAAAATTTACGTAGCGCTTGCGAAAACAGACGTGAGGTTGTATCTCCGCAACGCTTACTCGTTTTCACACCAAACTTGGTACGTGTTATCACAAGCATGACCTGAGGCTACGTGCTGCGTTTCGGCGCAGCGCCACCTAGTGGTCCGGAGATATGAAAAATGGCTATTTTTGCTCGTAACTTCTGAACGGTTTGTCCAAAAATCATAAATTTGGTCTCGTTAGATTCAGGGCGTCATGCCAAGTCCACCGATATCCAATTTTCCCAGAACGGCCATTTTGGCGGTCGGCCATTTTGAATTATGTGCTAAAATGCTGTATTTTTTGAACGCATGAACGAATTGTTACGAAACTCGGTATGGGTCATCAGTACGATGCCCTGAAGGAGCCTGAGAAGTTTCGAAACAGCGCCACCTAGTGGTGAATTGTTTTATTCAAACGCTTATAACTTTGGGTGTGGTACACTTATTTTCACGGGAGTCATATTTTTGAGGTCCTGAATCGTTGCCGAGTCCAACGATACCAAATATGTCGGGTTTCGTCTCACGGATGGCGTAGCGTAGCGATTTAGCGCGAAAAAAACACTTGGCGATATCTTCAAAACCGCTGTTCCGATCGAGACGAAACCACCGTCAGAAACACGGAATCATAGCTTGTTAACTAAACGCTAATGCCCAAATGCAAAAATATTGATAGTAAGGGGAAGTAAAATTCAAACAAAGTCATGTGTCAGTCATTTTTTACGTGTTTTTTCATATAAATGTTTATAACTCGGAAGCGAATTGAGATATTTTCACCAAAATTGACACACATATGTATGGGGTCACTCTGAGGGCACACACAAAAAATTGTGGGACTGAGCCTCTTGGTGGCGCTATAATAGAACAAAACGTGAAATTCCCATTGACTTCAATACAGTTTTGTGAAATACAATGCTATACTAAATAAATGCTTTGGTCTAACATTACGAAACTCAGTGTGTACCATAAGCAGCATGCCCTGAAGGTACTCAAAATATTTTGAGACAGCGCCACCTGTTGGTCAAAAGTTATAATTAATTTCTGAGAACGCTAATAACTTTTGAATAAATTTGCCTATTGCAATGAAACTGATCTTAATAGATTCCTTGGGTTATGCCGAAAACATAGATGTCAGGTTTTGCATAATCAGCTAAACTTCCTGTCCGCCATCTTTATTTCTTTGAAAAACCTTCTTTTTCGAACTCCTCCTAGACCGTTTGTCCGATTTTCACGAAAATTGAATCGTATCATCTCCAGACCGTGCCGACTAAAAGTTATGAATTGCACGATGATAGACAAAACCGTTTTCGTATACCACAGCATCAAAGTTTAGGCATGCTGCCAAAATTACTATTTAGGCTTTATCTCTGCAATGCCTTCACATTTTGACACCAAACTTTGCATGTGTCATTGTCACCTCACTCTGACCACATCACATCTATTTCGTAACTGCGCCACCTATTGTTAGAAAGTGATAACCCATTAAATCGTCTTATAAGTTAATGTTTATGTGATTTTCTTAGCCATTTGCCCAAAGTTCTCTCAAAATGCCCTTAATTGCTCCTTGCTGCAGTTGGTCTGCCACTCCTTGCCATTTTGGCATATGTTGCCGCTTTTTGCGCTTGGCCCCGGTAATGGCTGCTTGCAGCTATATTTATTATTATTCTTCTTCCGACTGGGCGTCTATGGCAGCCCATAGACCGGTTTGCGGGAAAGTTGTTTTGGTTTGACATTCTGATAGAGGACAGTCCCAACTTTAAATACACCAAATTTGGTGTCTCTAACTCATTCTCTCTAGCGCCACCAACTGTCCAAAGTTTCACTTTTATTATGCTAATAACTTTTGAACCGTAAGGCCTATCAACAAAATTCTTTTTTCCTCTTGTTCCTGAGCTCATGCCGATT